CACACACTGCAACGTAAAGAGCAAATGGAGCACACAGCTACTTAAAACAGTTTAGCTCAGGGGTGGGCAAACTTTTTGACTCGCGGGCCACAGTTGTCCTAAAATTGAAGGGGTAAAGAGCAAATGGAGCACACAGCTACTTAAAAGAGTTTAGCTCAGGGGTGGGCAAACTTTTTGACTTGCAGGGCCACAGTTGTCCTAAAATTGAAGGGGGTGGGGGGTCAGGAGCAGATAGATGGAGCGTTTGTGTGAACTAAGATATTTGACATTAAAGGTTATGCATAAATAAAATGCTAAAATGCTTTTATCACTATCTACGCCATCTATTGGCAAAATATGGGTATTGCAGGGACAAGGCAAAAGTATAATAATAATAATAAATAATATAATTAATAATAATTAATAATTATGCAGGCCGGAGGTCTTCCAGCTTCCTCAAAAACGCAATGCCTCTTCTGTTGGAAAAAATGACTTTTTGAATAGTCCCTAACCTTTGAAATATGTAAAGACTTGGTAATTGGATTAGAAAGAAAATAGTCCTTAATAAAATTTCAGACAATTCTGACATGTTCCAAACGTTCCAAATCTTAAAAAGGTCGGTGTTGCTTGAGCGTTGATAGTTGAACGGAACCATGTTAATGTTCTAATACTACTGCTAATGAAGTGCTAAGTGAGAATATAATGTGCTCTTTAGCTAACACACGAGTATCAGTTACTCTAGGCATTACATTTATTTAAGACTGATGTATCAGTGCAGTGGTTCCCAAACATTCTAAGAATAAAAACACAAACAAAAGCATTTCACATCATTTTAAATGTAACTGTTTTTTTTACGCAACTTTAAACTTGTCCATTTTATGCTAGCATTGCCAACTTTGGACAGTTGGCAGGAGTCAGATTTTGTGTGTTAGGATGGACGGGGGGTGCACTAACAATATGCTGAGCTACGTTTCATTCATTCCATCAATGCCCTCCCCCCCCCATGCAATGACACTGTGTCCCCCCTCGGGGGCACGCCCCCCACTTTGGGAACCCCACACAAGAGTCCGCCTATCAAAGATGTCATGAAAAAAAAAACAACGTCGTGCAAAGTCAGGCGCTAACCCTCCACACTTATGGGCAATAATATATGTGTTCTATTTACTCTAGTTAAGGTTACAGCATGAGAACTACAGCCAGTGACATCATTCAACAGATGGCTCTGGGCTTGCGGTGCAAGCGCAGGGCCCTGAAGATGACACAGTTCAGGTTACAGCGGTCTATGACCTAAACCATCTCAAAACAACACTCCCTAGCGCGGTGAACATAACCCTGTTATTCCCACGTTTCGCATGAGGGGCATTTTCTTCCACAACTGGTGAAGACATCGCAGAGGCAGGTTTAAATTCAGGGACTGGTTTCAAAACAGTTCTGCAGTGTATCACTGAATAGTGAACTAAAACATGTGTATACAGTAGGTTATTGCTTCAGAATAGCAAGCACAAATGTTATTCTACTACAGAAGATGATTTACGTAGCGGCACACTTATCAAGTTTGTGAGTTAGCTTGCTAACAAATGATAAAGTGAAACTAAAAATTAGTTCAGTTTCGGCTCTGTTAGTGTAGCAGTTATTACTCCTACATAAACATCTGCCTTACACGCAGAAGGTCCTGAGTTCGAGCTCCAGAAGGAACCACCAGAGGTGGAAAGTAATGAATTACATTTCGCACAAATGTTATTCTACTGCAGAAGGTGATTTACTGTACGTAGCGGCAATAATTCGTAATTAAGTTTGTGAGTTAGCGTGCTAACAAATGATAAAGTGAAACTAAGGATTAGTTCAGTTTCGGCTCTGTTAGTGTAGCAGTTATTACTCCTACATAAACATCTGCCTTACACGCAGAAGGTCCTGAGTTCGAGCTCCAGAAGGAACCACCAGAGGTGGAAAGTAATGAATTACATTTACTCACATTACTGTAATTGAGTAGTTTTTGTGAGTAATTTGTATAGGATTTTTGGGAATAGGTCATTTTAGGATTACTTAAGTACATTTTGACTCAAGTATTTTACTCTGCAACATTGCAAAAGAACCTGTTAGAGTAAAAAATTTAATGCGGGGAAAAAAACAATCTGCGTTAACTTAAATAAATTGCGTGCGGATTTCCCACTATTTTAATGTAGCCAAGTAATTCAAAGTAACTAAGTAACTTTTACTCAAAGTACATTTTTAATTAAGTATAATTTATTTTTCCTTGAGTAGAATTTAAGCAAAGTAAAGATCTTTTTACTTAATTACATTTTTTGGTACTTTTTCCACCTCCGGGAACCACACACTTGGCGCCTCCTGTTGCAGCAAATCTGCTGTTACCACAACAATTACCCCAGAGTAGGATCAATAAAGTTCTTTTTTTTCCCCCTCTTTTTTAGAGACATAAAATCAATGTAACCGGGCGAAAGTCAGCCACCACTGGATGGAGCTTTTAACAATGTCAGCCTAAATCTAGTGGTGAAGAGTAAGTCAATAACAGTGTTTTTATTTTCTAAAAAAAAAAAAAGTTAAATGTGTTTAAATAATCACTTTCACTTATTTTACCTCTAATTAGCTCTATTGATGCTTTTGTTCAATTTTATTTATTTTTTTGCAATTTTTCTTTTTTTCACTTCAAATTTAGGTAATTAAAGTACATTTTATTATCATTTCACTTACACTGACTTGGATTGGTTTGTTGTAAATGTGTAACTACTGGTGAAATTATTACCATACCTGCTACATTCACCGTCTAAACCCAGTGGTTCTCAATTCAATTTCTGTCATGAAATGTTTTTACGAGCCACATCCGACCCCCGGGCCTTAGATTGCCGATGCTTGGTCTAACCCTTAATCAATTCTTAGGATCACAGCCATCATTCGCAGCCATCAGGAAAAGACAGGCTTCATCCAGAACAGTCCATTTTGGGGCCATACATATATATTTATGATACTTTATACTAAAATACTTTAGATAATTTAAGCATTCATATTAATTAGCCTCAAGAAAATGCAATTTTTTACTGTGTTACTTAAAATATTCCCTCTTTATACTCACTGCTAACTGTTAGCATCTACAGGGCTAACATTGTGTGGTAGGCTAACCTCATATATATATATATGTATATATATATACATACATATATATATATACATATATATACATATACATATATATATATACACATATATACATATACATATATATATACACATATATATATACATATATACATATACATATACATATATATATATACATATATATACATATATACATATATATATATACATACATACATATACATA